TTTGGCTGTTGAACAGTCAACTGTAGGGGATTACCAAGTAAAATCGCTACCCCCCCCCAAGTAAAATCCCCACAGGATGGCACACCAAATAAATGATAAGCGCGACGCTATAAATCCCCAGTGTACGAGAGATTTAGTTTTTTTTCCTCGTTTGTCTTGCTGGCGATTACTGGCTGGGTGACTGATGACTATTGTCTATTGGACTGATATGATATCTGCCGCAGGGAGGGGGGGGGGGAGTCGGAGAGGATAGAGGGGATTGGGGGGGTTCTCTCTCTCTCTCTCTCTCTCTCTCTCTCTCTCTCTCTCTCTCTCTCTCTCACACACACGCTCACACACACACCACACTTTGCGGGACCAAAGAGCCAGAGCTCAACCCCCGCAAGCACAATTAGGTGAGTACACACACACACACACACACACACACACACACACACACACACACACACACACACACACACACACACACACACACACACACACACACACACACACACACACACACACACACACTCTTGGATCCAAGAGTCAATGCTCGATCCTGCAAGCACAAATAGGTGAGTACACACACACACACACACACACATACACATACACACACACACACACACACACACACACACACACACACACACACACACACACACACACACACACGCACACACACACACACCAACTAGGTGTACTCACTTATTTGTGCTTGCGGGGGTTGAGCTCTGGCTCTTTGGTCCCGCCTCTTAACCGTCAATCAACTGGTGTACAGGTTCCTGAGCCTACTGGGCTCTATCATATCTACATTTAAAACCGTGTATGGAGTCAACCTCCACCACATCACTGCCTAATGCATTCCATCCGTTAACTACTCTGACACTGAAAAAGTTCCTTCTAACGTCCCTGTGACTCATGTGGGTACTCAGTCTCCACCTGTGTCCCCTTGTTCACGTAAAAAAAAACGTAAATGAGTTAGGGAATACAAAGAACTATTAGGAGTGAGTTAAAAAGTGTATGAGGCAGTGTGAGTGAAGTTGAGATAGCGAGGCTTAAGAAATGTGTGAGGACCACTGAGCTACTCCTCACGTATATCAACACCAGTAATTATATCAGCCTGTGACATCCTGTATTTTCCCCCGTCTGTCGCCAACAGTTCTTGTCACTGATTGGTCACATTAAAATTGATTCCCTGTTGAGCTTAAGGCGCATCAGCCTTTAGAGGGTTATTAAGGCCTATCATCCTCTGGGGGATTAATAAGGCTTATCAGCCTCTGGAGGGTTATTAAGTCCACCACAACATCTCACAGCAGCAGGTATACTCAGGTCCCGAGCATAGTCCAGGGCGAAATTATACTCTCACCTGAGTGTATATACACCGAGGTGTATATACACTGAGGTGTATATACACCCAGGAGCGTTATACACTTCTCAGTGTTAATATGTTATTATTTTCCACACTGCCTTAAAAACCACATCATCTGTGGGTCTATCACTGGTGACATAAACTAATTATATAAAATATATATATATATATATATATATATATATATATATATATATATATATATATATATATATATATATATATATATATATATATATATATATATATATATACTTGTCTGCTGGAAAAGATGTTGTCTAATATTGTATTCTTATTTTAGTAACACCTCTCAGACGTCTCTTGGAACACCATCCAAGTGTTTCCTGGAACACTACTGACATGAAACACCACCACGCTACCAGCAAGAGACCTCACTAACAACATGTACCACACTAACAAGAAATATTTCACTAACAAGAAACCGTACTAACAAGAGATACTTCACTAAGAAGAGATACTTCACTAACAAGAGATACTTCACTAACAAGAGATACTTCACTAACAAGAGGCACCACATCACAGCACACCACCACACTGTGATAGTGACAGGATGGTCTTCAGAGGTCAGAGGTCACACACAGCGAACCGGAACCCGACCTTCCCGGACCTCTGGGCCAGATTCACGAAGCAGTTACGCAAGCACTTACGAACGTGTACATCTTTCCTCAATCTTTGACGGCTTTGGTTACATTTATTAAACGGTTTACAAGCATGAAAACTTCCCAATCAACTAATGTTATTGTTATAAACAGTCTCCTGGTGCTTCGGAGCTCATTAACTGTTTAATAATTGTAAACAAAGCTGCCAAAGATTGAGAAAATATGTGCATGTTCGTAAGTGCTTGCGTAACTGCTTCGTGAATCTGGCCGGTGGTGTAGATGAGGCATCGTTCACCAGACCTGTGTGACACGTGTCTTGATGCCATTATCAGTAAACAAAAAGAATTAACAATAAGTCTGCAAGTTTCTTGGAATTGTCTTCCAAGATGGTGTGAACGTTTCGTGTCTCGTTCTTATTCCTCTGGTGTTGGAATTATAGATAAAATGATTCATTCAAATTCCTCTCAAGTCCCACCTTAAGTTAAGTCCCATTTGGAGACTTACTTCGAGATTCATCTTGAGCTTCACCTCAAGTCCCACCTCGAGTCCTAACTCGAGACCTGGCGAACTTCCCAGGAATTATTGACTTTGTTTCATCAACATGAGCTGTGTTGAGCCAGGATGGTTCAATGTTTGCTATTCATTAAGAGAGGAAAAACATCATAAATCGTGGCTGGTTCTGGCTGTACCCACTGAAGACCACCTCCCACCTGCTGCCTCACATTACATCAATGGCAGCAACGGACTCTTGATCAACAAACAAACAGATCCACTGATACACGATTGACGTCTCTCTACCGGTGTAGTGGAATGAATTACAGACAACATTACAAAAGGTTCTGAATTTAAAACCAAAATTGATATTGGTGACTGCTTCACCAGTCATCTATGGGCAAGAGTTCCTGCACTCGAGTGGTGAAAGTCGTTGATATTTCTACATGCTGTTTGCAGTTAAGGTTAGAGGGAAAAGTCTAGAAATATTTTTCCTGTGGGTTGAGCAGCCTATCATTCCAGTAGAAGGGAAGGGGATCTCTCAGGGGGAAGCGCCAAGCCATTACGACTATATAGCACTAGGAAGGGGTCAGGATAAGGATTTGGGATGGGACGGAGGGGAAGGAATGGTGCCCAACCACTTGGACGGTCGGGGATTGAACGCCGACCTGCCTGACGCTCTACCGTCGCTCTACCGTGAAGCAATATTAACAACACTCGGCAGGATTGTATATAATTAGTAACTAGGCCTATTGAGCCTGTAACTAGTGAGACAGAGGAGCAAGTATGACCCAAAACACTATAGATTAAGGCAGCGTCTGGGATCCTCTCGGACGTAAGTTCGAACCCTCGTCACGGTTTTTGGGAGCTGGTTGGCCGAGCGGACAGCACACTGGACTTGTGATCCTGTGGTCCCGGGTTCGACCCCGGGCGTCATCGAGAAACAATGGGCAGAGTTTCTTTCACCCTATGCCCCTGTTACCTAGCAGTAAAAATAGGTACCTGGGTGTTAGTCAGCTGTCACGGGCTGCTTCCTGGATGTGGAGGCCTGGTCGAGGACCGGGCCGCGGGGATACTAAAGCCCCGAAATCATCTCAAGATAACCTCACGATAACGGCCCTTGTGGATTTGTTCACATGTCCCAAAATCTGGGTGCGAGAGGCAGAGTGTGTCGCAGGAGATAATATATAACTTACAGAGAGCAAGAGATTTCTTACCCGGCGGAGCCCGGGTCTACCCGGTGCTTCAGTCCACTCGGCATCACTATACCGAAATATAAAAACAAAAATTGAAGAACAAGGATGAGAAATAACGGTAATAAATGGGAACATACATTCCCCGTAGTACACCCCCCCCCAAGGTCAAAACATCCCCCCCCCACCCACCTACCCGAAAAATGACACAGCCCATTGGGCCTTAGAGCGTGACGTCGTAAAGTGTTCTTCGCCCTACTACAGACAGACTACGGATGAGGAGAATTTTTGTTATGATTTCTCTTCTTTCTCTCTTGCTACACCTCACTCAATTCCCTCCTCCACTCTCATCCTTCCCCTCCCCCCCTCTCTTTCTCTCCACATACCTCCTCAATACTTACACTCTACCTTCCCTCAATTCTACTCTCTCTCTCTCTCTCTCTCTCTCTCTCTCTCTCTCTCTCTCTCTCTCTCTCTCTCTCTCTCTCTCTCTCTCTCTCTCTCTCTCCAATATTCCTCCCCCTCCCCTCCCCCCCACCCGACGGGTGCCGTCAGTGACTGCGGCACTCGGGGGCGGCAGTGAAGGTGCCAGGTATCTGCACTGCATTGATTAATGCGGTCACTGTGAGTGTGGGGAAGGGGGGGGTGGGAGGTGGGGGGGAGGTGGGGGGGGTATGAGAATATATATGATGAAGAGGAGGAGGAGGAGGAGGAGACGAGGAAGAAACAAGGAGGAGGAGGAGCGAGTGTGTGATTCAGAAAACATAAACAAATCAAAGGTAACATGTATAGTGTGGTCGGCTCATAACCCAAGATCCCGGGTTCGACGTCCGCGGAAGGCCAGAGACGTTTGGGCACATTTTTCTTTCACCTGCTGCTCCTACTCACCTAGCAGGAAATATGTAGCGGAGAGTTAGTAAACTATTGTGAATTACAGCCTAGAAAAGGTCAGTAATAGATTCAGGAGGGGATGATCAGAACATAAGATAGCATGCAGGCTAACTGTCCCCTCGACAATGGGACACTAAGCAACATAAAGAGCGATAGAAGAGCTGTTCTCACAGAGCTACCAGTAGCAAGACTCTACAGGAATACTCTACACGGACGCTAGAGCTGCCCAACAACCTCCACCTCTTGACTCCCTGAAAAAACAAGAGGTAAAAAAAAGAGAAAAAGTAGGTTATATTTTTTCTCTCTGGAAAAAATGCCAGACAGAAAAACAGAGAGACAGTCAGTGGCTGAGACCAAGAGAGCAGTGAACATGTTCTCCCGCCAGTGACGACGCTCCCGCTCCTGAGAATATATCGTCAAGTGCTGGAATGTATCGACACCAACCAACAGATGTGGCGGCTGGCGAGGGCGCTGACGGCGACAGCTGTGGTGCTGGAGACGACAGGTGTGGCGCTGAAGGCGACAGGTGTGGCGCTGGAGGCGACAGGTGTGGCGCTGAAAACGACAGGTGTGGCGCTGGAGGCGACAGGTGTGGCGCTGAAGACGACAGGTGTGGTTGCTGACACCTGTCGCTGTGTCATCAACCAGCAGCCAAGTCAGTCCCCCTGCACTGGACCACTTCAGAAGAGACTAACAGCAAGTTATTCTTGGATTCAAGAAGAAGAACCCAAGAAGGTTGGAGAGAGCAGCGACAGTGGAGCAGCGCCGGTGGCTACATAGCTCTGGACACGACCAAGGGAAGGCGGAGCTGAGGTGTGGAGACTGAGCGAAGGATCAGTGCTCAATCACTTGGATCAGTGGCTGACAAACGCTGACCTCTCCAGCATCAAGGTCATCGCTCTGCCACACTAGCAAGGGTCCCACAAGGATCAGCACTGGTCAGGAGTCACTAGCAACGGTCCCACAAGGATCAGCACTGGTCAGGAGTCACTAGCAAGGGTCCCACAAGGATCAGCACTGGTCAGGAGTCACTAGCAAGGGTCCCACAAGGATCAGCACTGGTCAGGAGTCACTAGTTGGGTCCCACAAGGATCAGCACTGGTCAGGAGTCACTAGCAAGGGTCCCACAAGGATCAGCACTGGTCAGGAGTCACTAGTTGGGTCCCACAAGGATCAGCACTGGTCAGGAGTCACTAGCAAGGGTCCCACAAGGATCAGCACTGGTCAGGAGTCACTAGCAAGGGTCCCACAAGGATCAGCACTGGTCAGGAGTCACTAGCAAGGGTCCCACAAGGATCAGCACTGGTCAGGAGTCACTAGCAAGGGTCCCACAAGGATCAGCACTGGTCAGGACTCACTAGCAAGGGTCCCACAAGGATCAGCACTGGTCAGGAGTCACTAGCAAGGGTCCCACAAGGATCAGCACTGGTCAGGACTCACTAGTTGGGTCCCACAAGGATCAGCACTGGTCAGGAGTCACTAGTTGAGTCCCACAAGGATCAGCACTGGTCAGGAGTCACTAGCAGGGGTCCCACAAGGATCAGCACTGGTCCCAGATTGGACCTGGGAGGTGGTTGGGCACCATTCCTCCGTCCAATCCCAACTTCTTCTCCTGACCCCTTCCTAGTTCTATATAGGGGGAAAGGGTAGAAATAGCCTAACACAGGTCAACCCCGCTCCTGTGCCAGGTAAGTCCACTCCGGGCTCACCGTAGCCCGTGCTACTTGGAACATTTTGTTCCCCACTAGCTGAATCTTAAACAACAACAACAACAATAGCCTAAGCTATTCTATCCCTTTGAGATGTATTTTTTTTATTGTCTCAATAAACGAGCTTGAACTTGAAGTGTTATAGAGTCGTAATGGTTTGGCACTTTCCCCCTGATAATTCCCCTCACCCTCGACCACCGCAAGCACCAATTAGGCAAGTGCTTCACAAACACCGAAGACACATACACACACACACACACACACATACATGACACATTATACGCATACATGGAGCACAGACACAAACCATACTCGAGATATACACACACATACATGGAACACAAACAACACACATGTACATTTAAAAATAACACTCACACATTCACACAGACAAGGTAGAGACAAACAACACATACACAAAACATGCGTAAAAAACATATACACAGACTCAAACACAACACCCAAAGGATATACACACCTACATAGTACATAGTATATAGAACAAACAAAGTACATAGTGCAAACAAAGAACACAATCACAAAAGTATCACATACAAAGAACACATATACACACACAGACAGACAGACAGACAGACAGACAGGCAACACAGCCATACAGAAGCAGCACAGACAGACAACATACACACCAGCCTTCCCACAGTGCCCAACAGTTTCGTCGTCCTCGCCGCCCCCAAAGCAACTATACAGATCAATATCCTATAAAATTAAAGACCCGCGCTTCCGTAAGTTATACTTGCCTCTCAGATTACAGGTGTGTGTGGGTGTGTGGTCAGCCAGGTGTGAGAGGCTTACTGCACGCACACACACGCACGTACGCACACACACACACACACACACGCACACACGCACGCACGCACACACAATCTGTGTAGCTGAGTGGACAGCGTGCAGGACTCGTAATTCTGTGGTGCGGGTTCGATTCCCGCACCAGGCAGAAACAAATGGGCAAAGTTTCTTTCACCTTGATGCCCCTGTTACCCTAGCAGTAAATAGATACCTGGGAGTTAGCTAGTCAGCTGTCACGGGCTACTTCCTGGGGTGTGTGTGTGTGTGTGTGTGGTGTGGAGAAAAAAAAAGTAGTAAACAGTTGATTGACAGTTGAGAGGCGGGCCGAAAGAGCAGAGCTCAACCCCCGCAAACACAACTAGGTAAATACACACTTCAGAGATACTGTGATGAGAACGACACTGAGAATATCTGAGCATTGGAGAGGATCAACTTATTAAGGAAAGAGCTGCAATGATTTAGAAGAGGGAAAGTCCTAAATGACAAACTTGATCACGTTCTATGAGAAGGTTACTATAATATGCAAGAAATAGAAAACTGGGTAGACTGTGTATTCCTAGACTGTCAAAAAGCATTTGGAACTGTTCCTCGCGACAGACTGTATAGGAGGAGTACCTGCAGGACGGACAACAGTCACAGTCAAAGAAGGGATTTCGAGCTCGGTAAATGAAATAAATGGGTTCCGTAAGCCTCGGTGCTGGGGCTACTGTACCTTAATTATGTGAATGATATGCCCGAGGGAGTGATCTCTTACATGGTAATGTATGTAGACGACGCTAAGCTAATGAGAAATGTAAAAACAGAGAACGACTGTAGAAAGTTACAGAAAGACAAATGGTTGCTAGAATAGGACATTGGAGTAACTAATCACAGGATGAACAGACAGGGGGGCTAGGGAGCTATTGTTCAACCCTGTAAACAGCTAAGGAACACACACAGATATTTCCATGCACACTCAAAACAGACCCATACAGACGGGCTTAGGAGCTAGCTCCCGACCCAGAAAACACATTTAGGTTAACATAACACTGTTATAGATAACAAACGCAGTTCCGTGCAGGAATTCGCCCCCTCCCCTCCCTCCTGCCCCCCCTCCCCCATTTTCACCTAGCTTACTGTTGTCAAAGGTATGATTAAATCGTATATCAGACCGCACCGCTCCTGTGCCAGGTAAGTTCACTGCGGGCTCACCATAGCCCGTGCTACTTGCAACATGTTCCGAGTAGTTGAATCTATAGCAACAACTATAACAACCTATACTAGACGATTCGACAATTTCGTTTTCTTTGATAAAACAGTATTTACCTGAGGGCCACTAACACTCTAATGGCCTCGACGAGGACAGGGAGCCGACGGCTTGTCAAAGGTAACCCAATTTGCCCTGGTGATTTCTTCCAGCTGGATTTTAAAATGTAGAGTTTTGGCATTTACGGCTTCGGCGGGAAGGCGGTTCCACGGGTTTATAACCATGTGGGTGAAAAAGCATTTCCTGTTCTCAGTTCTACATTGTGGCTCGAGCTTGAAACCGTTGCTCCTTGTTTGTGTTACATCTGAACTTCTCAACAAATTGTCTGGATCCTCAAAACTGTTTGGCAGTTAGGCAGTGTTAGGCTCCGGTGGGTTAGGTTACAATGGATTGGATTAGGTTAAGTGGAATTAGATAAGGTTTTTAAATCCGCTGACGACTCGTCTTGTGTACAATGTGACGCCTCTGTGTTTCTCTTTGGCAAGGGTAAGGAACAAAACATTATCTTGTACAATGATGCCAGTCGCCATATTGGAGTACCTTGTACAATGATACCAGTCGCCATATTGGAGTACCTTGTTAATGATGCTAGTCGCCATATTGCAGTACCTTGTACAATGATGCCAGTCTCCATATTGGAGTACCTTGCACAATGATGCCAGTCGCCATATTGGAGTACCTTGTACAATGATGCCAGTCGCCATATTGGAGTACCGTGCTTTCAACCCCGGCACTATACAGCACGCTAATCCCACAACCCGTCCTGCTAATAGCACGCCGTATTTTGACGTACGTATGTATACGTATATTTTTGACGTATATATATATATATATATATATATATATATATATATATATATATATATATATATATATATATATATTGACGTATACTTAACCTAAGGCCAAAACCTGACGTGCGTGAAAGGGGCAGCGGGTCACGAAAGTGACGTACTGTCCCGTTTTCTGTTCGTGGCTCCTCTGGTAGGTTAAGATAAGGCATCTTAGTACGACAGTTTCTTGACGTTTAGGAACGCTGGCGAGAACGGACTGAACTCAACGCGAACAATGTCGCCTGGTTCGAGAAATGGACAGGAAGGATTGACTGGGCACTCATCTATAATTGATCGCCGCTCTTCACCAAACAGTAACAGGGGACCTGGTTGTAAATCAACTGGCAGATCGTGTTCCAGGGAACTAGTTAAGGGTTAAGGAACTAGGGGAAGGAAAATCTCTCAGCCTGCTCCCAAGAGCTCTCAGCCTGCTCACAAGAGCTCTCAGCCTGCTCCCAAGAGCTCTCTGCCTGCTCACAAGAGCTCTCAGCCTGCTCACAAGAGCTCTCAGCCTGCTCACAAGAGCTCTCAGCCTGCTCACAAGAGCTCTCAGCCTGCTCACAAGAGCTCTAAGCCTGCTCACAAGAGCTCTCAGCCTGCTCACAAGAGCTCTCAGCCTGCTCACAAGAGCTCTCAGCCTGCTCACAAGAGCTCTCAGCCTGCTCACAAGAGCTCTAAGCCTGCTCACAAGAGCTCTAAGCCTGCTCACAAGAGCTCTCAGCCTGCTCACAAGAGCTCTCAGCCTGCTCACAAGAGCTCTCAGCCTGCTCACAAGAGCTCTCAGCCTGCTCCCAAGAGTCACCAGTCTTCTACTCCTCTATCCACCTGTGTATCAAATACTTAAGAAAATATTTTAAAAGCTATATATGACTATCCAAGAATTCTCAAGAGTAACACAAAAATAATTACCTAACAGACGCAACATTTAAACGAGTATTTCAGTTGCGTGAGTTAAGTAAACTAGTGTTTCACTCACAACAGTCTTACATAAACCAATAAACTTACATAAACTTACATAAACCAAATTGTACAGTTACAATTGATTCAATATGACTAATTATAGAAACTAAACTCTTTTTTTGTATTTATATATACAAGAGTTTTTACGTTCTTGTACAGCCACTAGCACGCGTAGAGGGGGGGGAGGTGGTGGACCAGTAGGGGGGGAAAGGGAGGGGAGGTGGTGGACCAGTAGGGGGGGAAAGGGAGGGGAGGTGGTGGACCAGTGGGGGGGGGAGAGGGAGGGGAGGTGGTGGACCAGTGGGGGGAGAGGGGAGGGGAAGGTGGGGGAGAGGGAGGGGAGGTGGTGGACCAGGTGGGGGGGGGACGCACCCTCAATGTTGCATGTTCCACAATAATCAATGACAGCTGTCAACAAGAGTGTACGAGTTGTTGGCAGGGGGGAAGTGGGTGTTGGCAGGGGGGGAAGTGTGTGTTGGCAGGGGAAAAGTGGGTGTTGGCAGGGGGGAAGTGGGTTGTTGGCAGGGGGGGAAGTGTGTGTTGGCAGGGGAAAAGTGGGTGTTGGCAGGGGGGAAGTGGGTGTTGGCAGGGGGGAAGTGGGTGTTGGCAGGGGGGAAGTGGGTGTTGGCAGGGGGGAAGTGTGTGTTGGGAGTCATCAACACTTGATATATTCCCTTACGAGCTCTGCAACGCCTGTCTCGCCCATGGTGACCTGGTCGTGTCTGCGTGCGTGTGTGTGCGTGTGCGTGCGTGTGCGTGTGATGAGGAAGATGAGTCATAAACCTGAGAGACGCAGATATTTACGTGGTCGTAACCTATCATCTACGACCGGGGGGGAGGGGGAGCCGCTCAACTCCTCTGAGAGTGCGGCATTCGTCGGCTCTCAGCCAATCAAAACCCCTCGAGAGTGCTTGCAGAGGAAATTTATTGGGTGCGTGAGAGCAACGAGAAGTTGAACCAGAAATTTACGATAACGCTGGCCCGTACCAGGTAAGGTTATGGTGGCCTGGGTCTTGCTGGTGGACCGGTGACACCTCAGTCTTGCTGGTGGACCGGTGACACCTCAGTCTTGCTGGTGGACCGGTGACACCTCAGTCTTGCTGGTGGACCGATAACACCTCAGTCTTGCTGGTGGACCGGTGACACCTCAGTCTTGCTGGTGGACCGGTGTGACACCTCAGTCTTGCTGGTGGACCGGTGACACCTCAGTCTTGCTGGTGGACCGGTGTGACACCTCAGTCTTGCTGGTGGACCGGTGTGACACCTCAGTCTTGCTGGTGGACCGGTGTGACACCTCAGTCTTGCTGGTGGACCGGTGACACCTCAGTCTTGCTGGTGGACCGATAACACCTCAGTCTTGCTGCTGTACCAGTGGGACAGTTTAGAACAAGCAGTTCGGTCTTGATCGCCAATAAAACCCATCCCCCATTTCAGATTTCATAAATATCGGAGGGGGGTTGCTATAGTCGCCGGTATTTCTTAAACCGCGGCACTAGGACCGACGCCAACTGAACTTTATGTCGCCCCCCCCCCCCCACCCCAATGTGTCATCTTGTAATATGGGATGAGGCTAGCCCCTAACCTGGCTTCCTATTTTGGACAGACATATGGATAGATGTTCTATGTTATAGATATAGATGTTACTGGGAGATATACTAGATGTGGGACTGTTGGATTGTTTCAGTGCAGACAATCAGATGTGATTTCCTCTGTTGGTTTTTGAAAGAGCAATTCCTGCCAAAAACACCACGACGAAACTACAACGTTGTTACAACGTTCTAATATGTCATAAAAACGTTATTATAATGTTTTTATGAAGTTCTAATACGTCATAAAAACGTTATAAGATGTAACAACTTTTTTACAAGCTGTAACAAGGGAGGGGGGGAGTGGGGACAGTTACGTTGTGTGTGTGTGCACGGATGAGGTTAACCGACACCAGTGAAGGCCCGGACGATGCGGCTCCTATTTACAACCACCCAAACGCACAAGTCTAACCTACACTTGAAACAATCCAAGGATCTCTCGTTACATCTGAGAGTCTATATAGAGCGTCTTCTAGTTTTCATGTCTCCTGAATATATTTCCATTCCTATCTTCCATAACGTCTGCTAGAGTAGACGTAAATTATATTAATTGAAATCCTCAAATTAGGCATAATTGTAATTAATTTTGTCAATAAAGATGTTAATAATAATAAGTAAAATTATCAATACTCTATTACACACAGAAATCACAATAGCCTGATGTATCAAATGAACAAATCCACAAGGGCCGTGACGAGGATTCGAACCTACGTCTGAGAGCATCCCAGACGCTGCCTTAATCGACTGAGCACCGACTGAGGTAAGATTGTTTATCAATACTCTCTTTTTGTCTTCGATTAACCTCCCAACACCTTCTTTGTAATGTGTTATTGGTAAGCAAATAAATACGAATAAAAGGGGGAGACTTTTGACAAGTCGCCGGCTTCCTGTCTTCTCCGAAGGCACTAGAGGGAAAAAGTGACCCTCGTGGGAATTCAGGTAATGTCAATAATTCTCTGTTTAAACTACCTGATTGTTTGTAAGCCATTGTCAGGGACAGGAAGCCTGTTAGTTTTATCCAATTGCCCCCCCCCCCACAGGACGTTATCTTGAGATGATTTCGGGGCTTTAGTGTCCCCGCGGCTCGGTCCTCGACCAGGCCACCATCCCCAGGAAGCAGCCCGTGACAGCTGACTAACGCCCAGGTACCTATTTTACTGCTAGGTAACTGGGGCATAGGGTGAAAGAAACTCTGCCCATTGTTTCTCGCCGGCGTCCGGGATCGAACCCGGGACCACAGGATCACAAGTCCAGCGTGTTGTCCGCTCGGCCGACCTGCTCCCACCAGTTACTGGTCATCCCCCCAACCCATCCTCTTACAGATCACGTCGCTGTTCCCTCCTATGTGAACTCGGGCTAAAAATCGACATAATTCCAAATGAAATCGGTTCACGAAAGTGGCCTACTTTCCCGTTTTCTGTTTTGGGTCCTCTGGCTTAGGCTGTTAGGTTAGGAGAGGAAACTTTCAATTAACGGTTTTCATGACGTTTTGAAACTTTAGGAGAACTTCCTGCCCTCCTAACCTACCAGACGACCCTTAACTTGCTCTTTTGCAGAACAAAATTCCAAAATATATTTTCAATTACTTTTCATTTTCAAATTACGGCTTTTTTTTTTTTGCCGTAGCGCATGCGACCGAAAACCGACGTCACATGTAAGAGGACGGGCCCCCAGGATGCAACCCACAACAGTAGTCTATCTCCACCCCGCTCTCGCGATTTGCTACTCCTTAAACAAATAAAACTGTCTTGCTTAGCCAGAAAAGTAGAAAACCAGCCTTGTCTCTAATATGTCCCATCATTAACGGAAGGCGTCGAACGGCGGGCATCAGATGAAAGAAACTTTGCCCATTTGTTCCTGACTCAGCCGGGAATAGAATCCGGACCCGTTTGACTAGGACCCCCGACCACTGACCGCTCGGCCCTGTGTAGTGTGAGGCAGCGTGCGGTGCGGTGCGGTGCGGTGCGGGGGGGGAGGGGGAAGGGGCTGCTGGACAACATACGGTACAGACACGCTCGCCAGATGTGAATGAACGCCACTTGTTTACATCCTTTAAAGCTGAACAACTGCAAGGGCGACGCCCGTGTTAGGGAGGGAAGACCAGCCATCTCTATGGCAAGCAAGGTTTATTGCCTCCCATACACATTATATATATATATATATATATATATATATTACCAACGTTTCTGTCCTCTTCAGTGGCGTCTGACAACTTGGTGAAGGAAATCCTTCCTGAGCACCTAGCTCAACAGGCAGGGATACATGATCCCAGCTTTGCAGACTGCACCACCAAATGGGTCTCTCTCGCAGGACCAGCACCCCAACCACTGCTTTCTGAAGCCCATAAGCAATCCAGCTGGGATCGCCCCATTGCCGACCAAGAAGCTGCGACATTACTAGAAGCTGCGACAACACCACATGACACTGCCCGACTTAGAGCTGTAGCAGCTCCCCATGCAGGGGACTTCCTATTAGCAACCCCAATGTCAGCAACCGGCACTCGTCTCACACCGCAGGCCCTCCGAATTGCTGTGGCTCTCCGCCTCGCTGCCCCAATCCACACCGAATACAGGTGTATTTGCGGCGAGGCAGAGGCCGACAGGTACGGACGGCATGGCCTTCTCTGCCAAAGGACAGGAGGATGGCATGCAAGACACGGCGAGGTTAATGACATTATTAAGAGAAGCCTTACCACAGCCGGTTGTCCAGCAGAGAGAGAGCCCCGTTACCTAATGCCCCGCAACTCTGATGAGCCTGTCGGTCGCCCAGACGGGATCACGGTGAACCCCTGGAAGAATGGTAGACAGTTGGTGTGGGACTACACTTGCGTTTCAACTTTAGCCAACACCTATGTTGACTTCAGTGTTGCACAGGCAGGAGGTGCTGCCAATCACCGGGAAGCAGCCAAGTCACGTAAATACAGAGACCTTGATCACCACTACAATTTTGTCCCCATTGCCTCAGAGACACTTGGTGCCTGGGGTAAAAGTGCTGCTAGTTTTTTTAAGGAACTGGGATCCAAGCTAACCGAAACAACTAGAGACCCTAGAGCCGCCAGTTTTCTCTTTCAGCGCCTTAGTGTGGCGATCTAGAGAGGAAATGCTCACTGCATCCATGGTTCCTGGCCCCCATCTGAGGAGCTGGAGGAGCTATACAACTTGTGACAAGTAGCCTTGTACCATGCATGTAACTAGTGTTGTAACCCTTTTTGTGTCATGAAATTTTAAAATAAAGTTAGATAAATATACACACATACCAAAAGAATAGGGGTGGTAGGAGAAGAAAATATCAAAGTGTT